AGGCCAGCCTGGGCTACCAAGTGAGTTCCAGGAAAGGCGCAAAGCTACAGAGAAACCCTGTCTTGAAAAACAAAACAAAACAAAAAAATGACCTCTTAGAGGTATGTCAAGAGATTCACTAAAATAGCAGCAAAGAGGTAAGGAAAAAATGTAATTTGCCTAAATAAAAAAGTGGAATCTGCAGGACCTGATAAAAAAGATTATGGGTATTATGGGTTGCTACGTGGGATGACAGGAGACAGAGGCAGGTGGCTTTCTGTGAGTTCAAGGCTAACCTGATCTACATAGTAAGCTCCAGACCAGCCATGCAGAGCTGCATAGTGAGACCCTATCCCCCAAACAAACAATAACAAAAGATTTAGGACTGCGGGTAACTTAGGAATGCTAATAGTGGGAGAACTAGTCTTCCCTAGAGAAGGGCACACTGACTGGTTATCCAATACCAAATGGTCAGCCCTGAACACATGCATACTGATAACATTCTACAGACCGAGCAGTTTGTAGCTATACACTTGGGAATATGCACATGTGCAACAACTATGAACAAAGGCCAGGAATTTGAAAGGGCACAAGGTGGGGAGGTGTTTAAACATGGGATGGTTTGGAGGGAGGAAAATGATGTCATCATATTATAACTTCAAAACCATTTAAATACAGAGAAAAGAGGAGTATACAGGCGAAAAGTCTGGGAAATGTTCAAACTTCAATCACTGGAAATGAAATTTAAAGTAAAATAAACATTTTTAACACCCATCAAAAACAACGGCGATCAAACAGTGATAATAAGTCAACATTAGTCACAAACTAGAGTTCCCTGGAAGAGTGAAAACTGATGACTATTCTGGACAAATATTTTGGTAACAGCTAGGTAGCAGTGGCACACGCCTTTAATCCCAGCACTCGGGAGGCAGAGCCAGGCAGATCTCTGTGAAGAGTGAGATCCAGGACAGGCACCAAAACTACAGAGAAACTGTCTCAAAAAACCAAAAATAAATAAATAAATAAATAATATATAAATATATATTACATATAAATATATATATTATATATTGGTAATATTTACCACACCTTCTGACAGAAAATTCACTTCAGGTATGTGCCTTAAGGAATTATCTGAAATTAAGAGCAGGACTTATTGAACTATATATTGTTTGAAAGGCATTTTAGGAAGAAAATTGGAACATTATACATTTAATATAGTTATAAAATTTCAAATGATTCAAGATCAAAGATATTTTTTCATCTCAATCATGTAGAAATAAAAATTCACATACCCTTTGACCCTGCTAGAGTTTCTTCCAGGAATCTGGTCGACAGAAATACTTAAAAATTTTTGCTGCAGCACTGTAAAGGTAGAAAATCAGAAAACTAAATAGCCATCAACAGAGATGGATGAATTATATTTCTACTTTGTAAATGGAGCTCTATGCAACCCCTCATAAAAGAGATTTGCCCTTACCCAGAAAGATTTCCAAAACACACTGAATGAATGAATACATATAATATAATCCTACTTCTATTAAAATACAAGCATAAAAACAATGTGTGTGAGACAATGTGAAAGTAGCTTCACGTAAGATAAACTTTAAGAACAAATGGAGGGCAAGAAGTGGAGGTAGCCTTTCCCTTTTTAATACCATACACTTTCATAGTTTTAATCCTTTAAGCTCACTGTATTGGAACAAAAGTAATCTTAGAAAAAAAATACAAGCATTGGAAACATGACAAAAAAATTTTAAGAACTTTTTGTGTGCGTTGATGGAGATTGGATCTCAAATGTTAGCAGTGACGATTGAGTTTATGTTTTTTTTTCCCATTTATTATTTTTTTTCTGTGCAGGCTTAACGGTCTGCTGAAATAATAATAATTTGTCAAAACATCCCAGGGACTATGTTGATTTCTACAGCACTCTGCCTCAATAGGTCCTCCCTAGTGGCTGGGAGGTTTTGCTTCCTTACATTTCCTGAGAAGGCCACCAGGACTCTGTTACCTAACGTAGTAACCAGGATTTGTGAGTTAAGAATCTGTGTACTTATACCTGTGTTACAGCACACTTTTTGTAGCTGCAATAGAGTTGGGTAGTGCTGAACTGTGTCCTTTTTAAACGAATATATTACTTTTCGAATGACCAAAATTCAACTCGTAGATCGTCACAAGCAGAAAAACAAACGTTCAAATAATTAAGTAAAAGCATTTATTGGGCGCCCCTCGAGCACGCAGTAGTTGCCCAGCGCATACTCTAAAGGTGTAATGCACTCGGGACCCCTCGCGACCATCGGGCAGTTGGAACACTTGAGCGCCTGAATGGATGGAGCGGTACTTCGACCGCGGGTCTCAGTATGTTTGTTTTTTTTCTCTCTCCTAACTCCGGCCGTGTTTTTGAAACGCTTTTCACCTTACGGTTCCCTCTTGCAGGCAGAGGGGAAAGGTCCCCCGAGATCCGGCCACACGAACTGATTTACAAAAACACGCACGCAGTCACGACCGTCCACCATTTCCCCACCAGGCGCAGCGCAGGCCGCTTCCCGGCACTCGGGGAGGGGGAGGGGGGAGGAGGACGCGGGGGGGGGCGACCCCGAACTCCGCTCTGCTCTTCCTTATCACCACCCGGGGTCCCCATTTCCCACCCACACACCAACCTCCAACGAGACCGGGGGATTATCCTCCTTCTTCCCTCAAACGGCTATAGCGAGACGATAGACGACGACCAGAACTACTTCTGCTCACGTAAGCGATTGATCACGTGAGCGCCTACGTCATGTGAGATCTCGGTCACGTGAGCAACTCTCGGCTTAAACTCGGGATCACTGAGGTGCCGCACTTCCTCCCCATTTGGAAATGGGGTGGGTCAAGGTAAAGAGAGCGCCAATATGATTGGTTCATGTATGTCTTACGTGATTGTTCATTGGTCCACCTCTGGCGATAACCGTCCAGTTGCCTGAGAAACGGTGATGTCATTACTGAATAGATCATCTATGATTGGTCCGCCCCAAGGGTAAACTTAAAGCCCATGTTAACTGCAGGAAACTGAACCAAAAAATTCCTGTGAGGATGGAGCTTTTGCGTGGAGATCCGAGTTTGGTCTATGAGCTTGCGCTTCCTCCCCTGGCCTTAGTTTTCTGGAGCATTCTTGGAGCCAAAGCACTGGACAATGGCTTGGCGCTGACTCCTACTATGGGCTGGCTGCACTGGGAAAGGTTCATGTGCAACCTCGACTGCCAAGAAGAGCCTGATGCCTGCATCAGGTATGAAATATTGAGTGGTCCTTTCCCTTTCCGTGTGTTTGTGTGGGTGTATTTGGTAGAAGAAATGGGAACATTTGAGCTGGAGGGGTAGATTCCCCTACTATCATTGCTTTTTTATCCCCAACAAAATATTTATCCGGGACCTGGACGGTCCCTAAACTGTTATCAATGGGAGCTGTCCTGAGATGGAAAATAGCCAGCAGCCAGTGCGTTGCTCCCGCTCTGTCTCTTCCTACACTGGGAGTTTTTCATATATCATTTGGTTCCATGCAGACCGTTTGAGTTTGTACTCTGCCCTTGTTTAGTGCTAGCCTTGAGCTAAGCCATAAGCACGGTTGGAATGGGAAGGAGGATGACTAAGACCAATGGCATTTTTCCTTTTTGGATCACGGGTTCTTTGGCTGTACTGAAGCAAGAGTTAGAGAAACCATGAGATTACTGAGCTGGCCCTCAACCCCTTTTCCTTGAGTGTGGCATCAGGCTGGAAAGTTGACCTGAAGGAACTTTGCACATCAAAGATGAGAGTTGAGACCGGGTAGAACCTATCTGATTCTCACAATCCTAGTTTACAAACCAGAGTAACATCTTTTTTAACTCGAGGAGCTGACACAGAAAAAGCTGTAAAATTGCTGGGCATGGTGGCTCAGGACTAATCCCAGCACTCCAGAGACAGAGGCAGGCAGATCTCCTAAATTCAAGGCCAACCAGTGCTGCATAGTGAGACCCTGTCTCAAAAAGAAAGAGCTTACTATCAAAAAGAAAGAAAGGAAGGAAGGAAGAAAAGAAAAAGAAAGAAAGAGCTGTAAAACGGTTATCTCACACAGATGAACTTTCAGTTAAATAAACCCATTTTAAAAACCAACCATTCATGCCCTGAACCCCTCAATTAGGCAAATAAAACAGATGTCTCTATCCTGGCATGTATAGGAAATGAATTGTAAGTTTACAAATATATGGGCATTTTTCTAGAGAGAAGATGTTTTCCTTTGTTCGAATTCTTAAATGAATCTGTGATCTAGAAATGATTAAGAAGCAAGTATTAGATATTGAGTGACTGCCTTGTAAACATTATTGAAAAAATAGTAAGATCACCCAGTGGTGCAAAGCGGCCTCCCAAGGCAGCTGCCACAGCTCCCGCGCAGTGTTCACAAACTATTTCTCTGAATGCCTGTAAAGATAAAATCAGGGTGTTGCTCACGTATCATAAAAGAAACTAGCTTTCTAATCTTCATACTAAGTCTGTTCTATCCCTGAGATAAAATGTGTGGCAATTTGCCAATACAGGCTTTTTATATTTTTTGTTTTGTTAATTGTGGCTGTTTTGGGGTTTGTTTTTGTTTGTTATAAAACTAATGCATGGTCACTGCAAACAATGTAGATGGTAAAAATAATATAATAGAAATTAAGACTCCCCCTCATTTCATCACCCAGAAATAATCATGGTTAGCATCCATATACAACCTTACAATTATTGTGTAAATGAATACACAGATTTCTAATTGACTTCCACAAAAATAGTATCACTTTATGTTTAAGTGGATAACATCAAGACCTCAGTGCCCTTAAATTCTACTTCATTGTACCTTGAGACAAATCATTTATTTTGTTTTGTTTTTCTTGAGGTTTGAGGACATGGCCACAAGCCTTGCAGATGCTAGGGAAGTGCTCTATTACTGGACTTAATTCCTTGCACTTGGATTTTGGGGACATGGTCACCCTACGTGGATCAAGCTAGTCTTGAACTGGGGATCCTTTTGTCACCACTTCCTATTTGCTGGGGTTACAGGCATGCAAGATCATGTCCAGTTTAATTATTTTTTTTCTAAATTGGGCTGGGGATGTAGCTCAGTTGGTACAGTGTTTGCCTAGCATGCACAAAGCCATGGGCTTGGATCGTCGTCATCTGGTGGTGCACATTTAAATTCCAGTATTAAAGAGGTGGAAGGAAGCAGAAATATCAAAAGTTCAAGTCCATCCTATGCTACAGAAGCCTGGGATACAAGTGACCTCAAAAAAAATGTGCAGACTATATATAGTACCTGGTACAGAGTAAGAACTTGATAAATGCAAATGTCTGTATATTCTCTAATTTATTTGTGTAGTCCTTTGTTTTCTTTTTTCTTTCTTTCTTTTCTTTTCTTTTTTTTAGTTTTTCGAGACAGGCTTTCTCCGTGTAGCTTTTGGAGCCTATCCTGGAACTCACTCTGTAGCCCAGGCTGGCCTCGAACTCACAGAGATCCGCCTGCCTCTGCCTCCCGAGTGCTGGGATTAAAGGCGTGCACCACCACTGCCTGGTGTGCAATCCTTTGTTAATAGCTACTTGGATTCTTCAATTTTTGTGCATCCTATTCTTACCTGATTTCTTTTTTCTTTTCTTCTATTCTCTTTCTCTCTCTCTCTCTCTCTCTCTCTCTCTCTCTCTCTCTCTCTCTCTTAATGAGAAAGGTCTCACTTTGTAGGCCTGGCTGGTCTGGAACTCTAAGCAATTCTAATGCCTCATCCTCTCAAGTGTTGAGATCACTGTCATACCCACCACGACAGGCAAGCTCCATTCTTTTCTTAGAACATTAATTCTAGGGCCCAAAGGTATGCTCATTTTGATAACATCATTCATTTCCAAAGATTTCGCAGATACATGTACACAACAGTGTATAAGAATTGCCTATTTCTCAACAATATATCCAAACCTGAATTTTGTCATTCTTTTAAATTTTTTGCAAATCTGCTTTGTATTATTCTTTATGTATTTTTCTGCCTCTGTGGAACTTGAACCCAGGATCTAACATGTTAGGAAATATACCACTGAACTATACCCCAGCCCTTCTTAATGTACATTGATTTAATTACTAAGGAGGCCGAATGTCTTTTCCTACTTTAAATCTACTCCTTGAACTGTTTCCTCCATGGATCTCCCTCCCCTGCTTTTTGCCACTACCCTATTTAACTACATCACCTGCATTTTTTTTTATTCCATCAGGTTTGGGTCTAGTATATATTGCAAATACAGGTGGTTCTTGACTTTGAGTTGTTTTGATATTCATATAATGTGACATATCAATTCTTTCATTATTTTTGGCTTTAGAGTCTTATGCCAAGAAGTCAAAAGTTAAGACAAAAAGTAAAGAGCATTTTATTTGGGTGCAGAGTAAATTTGCAAATGGAAAAAAAGACTCAGTTCCACTGAAATAGCATTCCAGAGGGAAGGTGAGCTTGAGTTTTTTGTTTGTTTCGTTTTTGTTTTTTGTTTTTTCAAGACAGGGTTTTCTCTGGCTGCTTGGGGAACTCACTCTGTAGACCAGGCTGGCCTTGAACTCAGTGATCCGCCTGTCTCTGCCTCCTGAGTGCTAGAATTAGAGGCATACACTACCACTGAGCTTGGGTTTTTATTTTTATTTATTACGTATACGGTGTTCTGTTTGCATGCATCCCTACACACCAGAAGAGGGCACCAGATCTCATTACAGATGGTTGTGAGCCACCATGTAGTTGCTAGGAATTGAACTCAGAACTCTGGAAAAGCAGTCAGTGCTCTTAACCTCTGAACCATCTCTCCAGCCCAGCTTGGGTTTTTATAAGGTCATTGGATTGTTAGCCAGGTGGTGGTGGTGAATGCCTTTAATCAGATGCAGAAGCAGGTGGATCTCTTTGAGATTTAGGCCAGCCTGGTCTATAGAGCTGGTTCCAGGACAGCCAAGGCTACACAGAGAAATCCTGTCTCGAGAGGGAAAAAAAAAGGGGAAGGTGATTGTGAAACCTTGTATTCTTAGAGGAAGCTAGAAGACTCATGGCATGAAATGAGTGGATCTCTTTCTGAAGCCTTGAATTACAGTAATCTTTGTATTATAATGCCATGTTACAGTAGCTTCCTTTCTTCATGACACAAAGCATTTCATCTTTCAGGTGAGCTTTTCAAATCTTTTGCCAAATTCCTTCAAAAGTCTTTTTGGGGTTTGTTCAAGGTTTTCTGAGCCAAGACTAAGATATTGTTTCTCCATTTATTTAAGCCAGTGAGGAGCAGGATAGTTTTAACATATGATTGATAAATATATTAATGTCTAGGTATCTTAGCTTTTTGGTTTTTTGTTCCTGCTTTCCTGTTACTATTATGAATGAGATTGTTTAGCTCGACGTAGGAAAAGCTGGTACCAGAAGAAGCTGTCTATTATGCTAACTCTTACTCTGCTGGGGTTCCTCTAGGTGTACGTAGGCCAGGCAGACCTTGGACCTGCAAATCATCCTGCTTCAGTTTCCTCAATAGCTGGGATTACAAACCTGTGTCACCACAACTTCTGAGTGGCAATAACTTTCCAATTTTGTCATGTATCTCATTCTTATTTTAATTATTTGCAGTTTTTGTTTATTTCTTTTTTATATGTTTTCTTTTTTAAGAATTTATTTATTTTTATTTTATGTGCATTAGTGTATGTATATCTGTGTGAGGGTGTCAGGTACCCTGGAACTGGAGTTACAGACAGTTGTGAGCTACCATGTGGGTGCTGGGAATCGAACCCAGGTCCTCTGGAAGAGCATTCAGTGCTCTTAACCGCTGA